TATATATATATATATATATATGCTGCTTGAGTGGATCACCTTCCTTAGGAATTGAATGGTTTATGGGCTATTTCATGGGTCTAGTGAGAAACAAGAGATCATGAACCATGTGGGGTTGTCTTGCATGTCTTTATCAGTAATTACTGAAGATTTTTAAGCAAATGGCCTACTTTGTAGAAGAGTGGCCAATACAGTTATTGCTTGAAGATGAAAGAGGACTGTACAGCAAAGAACCTAACTATTGTTTAAACTATTTAATGCCCTGTTTCTTTTGTTCAAGACATGCACCAGACATCTCACATTAGTCAGAAACTAGTTTACTTTATTTGCACTTGCATATTTTCATTCTGCTAGAAACTTAAATTCAGTGGTTGCAAAATGCCATTCTTTTTCTTTGTGATAAGCTTGCACGACAGGTCCTTCTGAACAGCACGGAAAGTACTTCTCGTTGCACACTCCATGAAGACCGCACAGTTTCCTACGGAACAAGTACAATGCAACATACAATTTAATTTGAGACTGAGACGTTGTTGCCTTGGTGGTTGGTACATGCCTTTCTTGACATTGTTGTACACATTCGCATCAAGTATTTGGAATATACCTTTCTTCATTTTCACTCCAACTTTACTGCCGGTAACCATAAGGGTGAGAAAATCACTATTATTAACTTCTACTTTTACCACCGAAAGTAAATATTGCCACATGCCTAAAGTCTGACCCCACCCTTATAGGGATTGAATGTTGTATAACTAAGTCTCTCATGATGCCATATCTATTGTGTTCTGTCCGTAACTTTATATTAAGCAGTTTGTCTTGGCTTCCACTGAATCTTAAACCAATCAACAACTCTCCTTTTCTTCCAACTTCTATCATGTTACTATGAAAATGAAAATCTTTGTAGGTGTTATGTCAAATTGCCAGTTGGAAATGGAATGAATGATTTAGCAACATGCGCATAACAGAAGACAGACACTGAGCTGAACTGAGATGGGACCTTAATTTATACAGCTCACAGATTGAGAAGCACCATAGATCCATGGATAATGTGATACTGTTGAATGATATATTTCAATAATCTAGTAATAGAGGTTAGGTTTTTATATTTATTTAAATGTGTTGTTCCGTATCAATTTGCTTAATTTTACAACAATCAGAAAAGGAATAACATGAAACATGCATGCCATGCTGAGGAAAGAAGGTACAGTAAAAATGATCTAGCATCAATTTAAAAAATAAAAGGAATTACATGAATGTTACATTGAATATATATCATGACAAAATAAAAATAAAACATTATTTTTCTAAACAGGTTTAATAGATAACTCTGATTTGTGACCGGATTTTGAGATTGCATCAAATTCTGTAAAATTAAATCAGTTTATTCGCAGTCTTTTTTGTTTTTGGGTCTTGACCCCATTGTTGTTTCACACCGCCTCCCCCCCCCCCCCC